ATCATTCCTTTATTACCTGGCTCATTCTCTTCCCTTAAACAGCTTTGTTCAAATTCCCCTACCAATCTATATACTTCTAAATTTTTATCAGCTGTATCTCTTCTCTCTAGGCAGAGCCCACACTTTCTTTTTGCTCCAAGACTGTTACTTCTCTTTTCCAAAACAGTTCTCAATGTCTATATGTAGGATTGTTTTATGGTTTTTGTAAGGTACTTATTCTTGGAATTAGTTCCTGCTTTTTGACTAGCGGTGACATGTTCTATAAAGTATTCAGTCTCTAAATCAGGCAGTGAGAGAAAAAACTATGATGTCTCCTATTTGCAGAATTAAAAGAGCAGCTGATGTCAAAAAAACAAAATAAAAAAAGGTGACTTTAAAACAATATGTTTCACGAGGACACTGTCTTTTGGGGTCAATGTCCAATTTACCTCAGTGCACATGCAGGGTGAGGACTGCAAAGTAAGATTAATGAGCATGGCAGAAACATATGCAGTAATTCATCATTGTAACAAAGCATAGCACAATTATCAGGAATTTCAGATGCCTGTAGGCTTAACACAATTACATGGAAACAAATTGTTTGGTCTGCTCATTTAGAAGTGCAAGAATGCTGGACCAAAAAATAGAAAGGGATTGTTGCCACCTATATACACAAATCATCCTTTTACAATATGACAGAAGTACATTTTCGCTTTGTTTTTCTTTATTTGTACACTGAAATTGTGTTCAGTGCCTGCCCAAATAGGTTCCCATGTTCTGTAAGAAGACAAGCCACAGAAAACAGAGGAAGAAGAGGCATTTGGCTTCAGGGGTAGAAGAGTTAACGGGTATAACTGCAATAATTTTCTAATACTTGCCAAAGACTTTAATACAGCAATACTTCTCAAGCAAGACTGGAAGGAAGGGAAACCTTTAATTAGTTGGAATTTACTTACTTCAAAAAAATTGTCTCTGCTTGGTGTTTCTTACTGAGAAAAGACTAACATCAGCATCATCTTGTGAATAATTGGGTTTGGTCCTGTTCCTGGTTTTCAGCTATCTGGAGTACAGTTTAGGCTGCTGTTTACTTGACTTTCCTCCCGGAGGACCACTCTTCTGCAGGAGAATTAAAGCTATGCAATGCTTACACAGACATTTCTTGCACTTCTGATAGCAGGGAACAAGACCCATTCTGAGTAAACACTAATAATAGACAACACTGCAAGTAGCTGTTGAGGGCTCACACGCCTGAGAGATGTAATACTCAAGGCAAAGTTGCTGTTGAAAGGAGCAGATAGATCCATTTGCTATCACAGATCTCTGCTGTGTTGCAGTGATCATGCCACTTAGGTAAAGTGGGACTTTGAGAGCAACAGTCTAATTAAAATAAGTGGGCGTTATATAACCGTGCTTGGAAGGCAAATTTTCTGCAATATTCCTTAGTGACCAGGAGCTGCCTTTCTTTAAAGCATTTATACAGCTCAGCTCAAGCAATTTAATGGTTGGGAGGTGATAAGAAAATAAATTAGATTTTGGTACACAGCGGTCAAATTAATTTCAGGGTATCTGTAACTCTTGGCACTTCAGATCCGTAACCACGTCATGACCCATATCAACATTATGGTCCTGATTTTTCAGGGAAGTTTAGTTAGCTCACATCACAGAACAGCTTTTCAGAAGACATCCTCATTCTGCAGAAATGTTCTGTATATAAATGTCATGTTTCAGGGAATGCCTTAGCTCCTCCAGGTTATCCATCATGGTTAGGACTGCACTGCTGAGGCTTCAGGGATGCATCCGGCCCAGAGGGAAGATTTACCTGTGGGTCCTTTTTTTTGGTTTGTTTTAATTGGTTTGTCTCTGTCGCTTTCATGTTTTTCTTCCTCACCTCATTTGCTTTATTGATCCTGTCTTTCCTCATGTTTCTCTTTCCTGGTTTCTTCTATATTAGCACCAGGATGGGAACTCCCATGAGGAGCCCCACTTGGCCACTTTCTGCTGAGTAAAACAGCTGAACGTGGCAATGGGGAGATATTCTTATCAGAAGGGAATAATTCTTATCAATAGGGAAAATTGCTGGGAGGGCCCATCTTGTGTGTCACAGGTTTGGTGTCAATCTGTCATGCTCCTGCAGAGTCCAAGTAACGGTGCAACCATTATGCACTCCCAGGACTTCTTTAAATTACACCCATGAAGGAAGCATTTATGGTGCAAAGATACTTAAGCTCACTCAATATGTTTGAGCCTGGTTTGCTAGCACTCCTTTCTTAAGGGGTGATGCACAGAATTCAGGTACTCCAGCAGGGAGAAGCCTGCTGCAATTAACAAACATCTTATGGGGGAAATATATGAATGATTAAAAACAGCCTGGAATTAATTTCTCTGGATGGGTGATTTCTGTCAAATTCTTTGAATTCTCACAAACCAGTTTCATCTACCCTTAATTTACAGATCTACTTTTTAAAATGTAAACAACTCTCAAATAAGATTTTATTGCATTTGAGTATCGTTTTTGTTGTGTTCTGTACTTTCTTATTTCAATTCTAAAGAATTTTGTGATGATTAACTCATGCATTATGTGGTGCCATGTGTAACGCTCCCTTATGACAATAACTCAAATCGCTATTTTTCATACCAACTTCCTCTCTCTCACTCTTGTTTCATTTTCACTCCAGTGTGACTAAAAGATCTATACCCTCACTCACATGAACAGCAACATTTTCAAGAAAATATTTCTGGCTCCTTTTGCCAACTGTCTGCCAGCTCACACAGACTAGAGGAATGGTTAAGTGAAAGTATCCATCTACTACAGCTTTGATTCCAGTTGCTACAGAGCTCACTTTCCCACACATTCTGTCGAACCTTCATCTGCAGAGCTCAGGCACTCATCAAAACAGCAACTGATCAAAAGCTGTTCATTAAAATATTCTAAAAAGATTTGTGGGGTCTTTTTTTGTTCTTTAATTTCTGATGGACATCAACGAGTTGTATGTGAACCCTTAAAGCAACTTGGTAGTCAATAGGACCTGCAGCAAGTATGCAGTTCAAACAAGAAAGGAGCAAGCTCATATCTTTTCATTTTTTTCTAAACAGTAGCACAGTTTGATAGGTTGGCTAATTACTGAGATTCACCAACACCACTCAAAATAAGATGCAGCACTATTAAAACTTCATTATAGATATCAGCAGAGTAAGAGAGCTCCTGAAAGTCATGGTCATGGACAGAAGGGAAAATTTGTTAGAACATTAATTATTCCTAACCTGTATACAGATACGGACACATACATTTCATTTTATCATTTGAATAGAAGAAATAGGGCTAAAGCTGTAAAGTCCCATAATTCTGACAGTGATGTAAGAACACCTATAACATGCATAGAAAACCTACAGCAAGAGGAAATGCTGAAAAATCTAGGAGGGAAGAAAGCAACAGCAAAAGACATGCAATCAAGGAAGATTTAAGACTTGTCTTGCATTTTAGTTATCTTCACATCAGTAGTAGCCTATTACTGTTTACCAACTCCATATCCCAAACTTATCCAGATAACGGCAAGAAAATTCAGGAGAAGAAAATTCAACGTCCAGGAGCAGGCACAGATCAAACACTATTTTCCACAAAGTGTTTCTATGCACTTGTTCCAACAAAGCAAAACCCAGAATAAAAACAGCAAGGTCTATGAAAATGGGTGTATGAGGTGAATAACTTTTTTGAGCGTATTCAGCCAGGGTTGGCCCTAGGAAACTCTATCATCCCACAACAAGAAATTCAGTCTAAATGGACTTATTAAGAGTATTAAGTCTACCTCCTTGTGAGAGCAAGACTATTCTCAAAATGCTCTGAGCAGCAGTATCTAGCTGAGCTTTAAAGGCACGAAACAATGGCTTTTCTATTTCTTGCCTTGAAATATATCTAAGCTTGGGATTCAGTATTCAATGGCTTTTGCTATTTTCCACTTACAGATGCTACATATACAACAGAAAACAACAATTTACATTAGCTGGGCATATACCATAGTGTGTTCAATCAGTAAAAATGTTTTCTTATCTGCATTTGGGGGCTATATGGATGCATTCTCAATAGCTGCCAGACACTAGCATGGAAAAAGCCTTAGTATTTTACTTCACAACCTGATTACCTATCCTTTTATCCTATTACTTCTACAGACACAGCACCCCAAGGAACATCTCCAGACAGACTCTTACTTCTTGCTGTCAAGGTCACTTATAGACATTTGTAGATATTCACCTATCCTTAGTCAGTAAGCTGAAAGACATTTCACTTTTGTACTTCCTCATCTAATAATGTTTCCCTCTGAATTGCCTCCAGTTCACTGCACTGTTAATTAGCTTTTATGCATTACCAGAGATGGATGCATCTCAGCAGTGACTTAAGTGATTTCTTTATAGCTTGTGTTTCCATTCATAAGACACTTCAACCTATATTTGTCAAATTATTTCCCCCTTGTAATACTTCAGCATTTATATAATACCTCTCAATCTAAAGCAAAATAGGGCAGAGTAGCTGAGGAAGTAAAAGTCCAGAAACAAATATTTGTCTTTGTCCGAAATACTCAAGCTGGCCAGGACAATAGAACATTTTCTGAACGTTTGTGAACACAATATTTTCTATATCATTTAGATTATTAAAGAAGAATAGCTAAGCCTTGCCTTAATTACCAATATAATGGGACTTTAGTTGTTTAGCAATATTTTTAAAGCCTGTTTCATATAAAAAAACCCAATCCAATCTCAAACCTTGTAACCAGCACAATACCTATAGAAGAGTTATGTGTCACTGTGGCAAGAATTTCTTCAACAGACTGTAAACAGCACACAGCTTTTCACGTACATTCTAAGGACATGTTTATAGCTCACATACCCTTCCCATTTTTATTACTTAATTATTAGAGAGACAATTTGCATTAGTAAACAGTTCATATAGTGGCTGGACATTTTAGCATTACAATGAACATGGCTTTAAAATGATTTAGCTACATAAAACCGGAATGTGTCTGACTTACATAAATGTTGAATCATTTAGAGGTTTAAAGCAGAGGTCTCCCAAACTGGTGGTCTATAGACTCCTGTCAGAGGTCTGCAGCTGAAGGTTTATAGCTGTCTGGTTACATGGTGCTCATTCACTAAGGATAGTGGAGAGAGAAGAGATTAGTGAAGAACATACATTGACCAAAAAAAATTATTTCAGTTTATCAATAGCAATAAAATATATATTTATTTTTTTTTTGCTGAAGACTGCAGCCCTACAGTTTCTCCTAATAACTTTTGTGTTTGATTATAATTTTTTCAGGTTGTTTGTACTGAAGTTTTCTTTTTCAAACTGTTTTCTCTTTTCCAATCCAACCATTTCTGGGAAAAAGACTAGAGATTATGTTATTTCTAAGATACTTTTTAATGGGCAAAACAGTTCATAATCTCAGAAACAGGTAAAAAGAGAAGCATCAGCTGGCTTAGGATGACTAAAATGCAAGAAGTGAGTATACAAGGAACGGAAGCAAGAAGTACAACTGCGTAGTCTGGGACAAAAATCAGGAAAGCCAAAGCCATCTGAAGCTCAGATCATGGAGGCTAATGCAAGGAGGGATTCTACAGGTCCCTGAGCCTGCAAAAGGAAGTTCAGCAAAAACATGGGTGTTCTCATGGGCAGAGAAGAAGAACTAGTAGTGAACAGCACTAGGAAGGCTCTGCAACTTTTGCAATATCCATCCTAAAAAATTCACATTAAGAGCCACAGATAAAAAGGTTGCAGAAACAACATATACTACTACTCAGAAAATAGACCTGCAAATTTCTGACCTCAAGCCACATTTCAAATTACTTTTTTTTTTTACTAAAATCAAGTTCAGGAATAAGTTCAAGAATACTTGTTTATTAAAACATAAAAACTTTTCAATAACACAAAATGAGACTCAATTGCTCAAAGATCATGAGCAATTCCAAAGTTTCTCAGGTATAATGAAAAACTGCTCTAACTGTACTAGTTATCCAAGTATTACAACTTGCACTGCAGGATATAAAAGATTCATGTCAGTTGAGATTTAAACTCACAAAGGAAGAACTTCAGTAGATACTTAATTGTTAGTGAACTGCATTGCAATATTCCTTAAAGCAGTTTATCTTCTTCTATGTCTATGTTGCAATGCATTTTGTTTCACCCAGCCAATGTGAAAACTGCAAATTCTTAAACAGGTTTTGTTCTTAAACAGGTGTTTACTGCTACCCCAAAATTCAAGCAAAACTTGTTGATGTCCACATCTAGGCCCATGTTTCATAGAGCAAACTGGTTTCAGAAAAGCAAGAAATTTCGATCATTACTGGTTAGCCCTAAGCTTATAGCAATAATTTAAAATAATAGCTCTAATCAAAATAGAAAATTCAGTAGAAAGAACCTTTTCAGAAATGTAATTTTTGACACTGAAATACACTGCGGTGAGAAGCAAATTTGCATGAAACATACACTGCTGTTCTTTCTAATGCCTCTGTTTTGGTTTTCACCTAAAGAGACACCAATGAACATGGAAACAATAATTATTATTGGCTTCTTATATTTCTGGTCTCTCAATAGTTCTTCCTCTCAAACATGTAATGCCACAGCTTCATTCTCTGAATATTTTCAGCTTGATTATAGAGCTTCTGCAACCTGCTTTATACTGTTTGTGTCAGACAATAGCCTAAAAGAACAAAACAAGGCTAATGTTGGAGAGATGCTGTGAGCATGGCTTTCTAGCCACACGCACATAATCAGAATTAGCAATGCTATCTATAGAATCTCCCACTGATCTAATGCTTGGGAAGTACAAAAATCTTAATTTAACCATCGGTCTTTTGTCTGAGTTTACCACAAACTTTCCATTTCCTCTAGTTACCTTGATAGCCACAGGAAAAAAGTTTGTATCAATTGCCCCCTACCCATTTTTCAGGCTGTTCAGACTGTGCTGCAGCCCTTACCTAGTCAGCTGGTCAAACCTTGCAAAATTGGAGTTTCCTGCCAGGTTTGATGGACGCCATTGTTCCTTTCACAGCAAATAATTCTGTCTTTCCTAGCATGTAGATTTCCTTTCTATTGTCTATTGCTATGCTTTTTGCATATGTCACACTTACCCATGTACATTTTTACTTAAGCATACTTGCCTGGCCAACCAGTACAGGTCCTGCTTCAATCTCACTCTACCTTTATCCCTATTCCATGTTAGCACCTATCTGTTGGGACTACTGTTACCACTTTAACTCCGAACCTGGTTTGCTACACACAGCTCCTCCCTTCTGCCACCTCCAAAAAACCAGCATGTTCTTATGCTATTTTATGGTGCCACAAAAATTTGTGCAACCCCACACAAGACCATGCCAAGGAGATAGGGCAGATTAGCTTAGCAAGAAAAAAAACAGCAAACCTCTTTTTTCAGCAGCACAGCATTATGCCATCTTCAAGGATTTGTATTAGTATGGGATCAGTATTAAGAACTCTAGCTTCAGAAAGTCTGAGCAGCCCCTGAGTATGAACAATTAATATTCTAAATATCCCTTAACATAGTAATCTTGTTAGAGATCATAGTGTCTGAAGCAGTAAAGCTTAATCCTTCAGTTTCAGTTTACCTACCTACAGTCTGATTTTTGACTCCCAGGACATGTCTGGGAACTATCACAGCTTGTTGGCTTGGAGCTATTGACTTCTTATCCGACAGTTTCCTCAAAGGGGAGGGTGATGTGTTCAAGGTCTGGGATCCCTGGTTCAGTTTAACTTGAAACACCTCAGGAGCTTCTCCCATGCATTCTCAAATTGATCAACATGTTTTTACTTTCCTAAGTATCCCTTATCCTGTCTGTTTGTTTTCTGTGAGCTGCAGTTTTTAAATATTGTCGAGACAGACAGGCATCACAGATCATTTTATTTTTGGAGACCAGTGTGGATGGAGAAGAGCAAGACACATATTGTATTCTTTCTATAGACTTCATTTTTGTTCTTCAACTTTTTAGTCTCCTGCTCTAAATAGATAGGAAATTCAAACTTGGAGTGTCTGTTGCCTCACAGAAAAAAACATGAACATCATCACAGTAAATATTCTGCTCAAGTGTTGTGATCCATAGCAGGCCTTACACTTCAGAAGGTTTGCATATCGAAAAGTTAATTAACAGATATAGTCCATTTCCATATGTCTTCCTCTAAAGGTTACTGCAACAACATTTCCTGAATATCCTTTAACAATTTAATGGCAGCCTGGCAGTGGTATCATGACAAATAAATTTAAGTGACATACAGATTGCAGTGGCAGAATACAAAGTATAATGAAGCAATGTACCTCTTATGGAGATGTGACATGAAAAACATTGACCTGTGGTCCTAAGTCATTTTCATAAGACAAAAGCTTTCTTGGTAATAAAAACAAATCAGTCAACGTTCTGAAAGACTGATATAATAAACCATCAGGGAAGCTATTCAGCTGTGTTAACTCCATTTAGCGAAACAGGACCCATTATTATTCCACCTTTGTACAAAAAGTTTGGTGGTAACATTAACTGCACTATGACAAAGTACCTTTCTTGATTAATGGGAGATACCTCCAGAAATGGCAGTGGGACTCAACTTAGAAACATATGCTGCCTTGCTGGTCATATTAAACAAAGCCAGCCTGGCATTAGGAACACAGGGCAGAATATTAATTGCAGAGAAGCTGAAGACAGTGAAGTAGCCCTGCATGAAATATTGTCAACTCAGAGATTGTTTATATTAAGACAAGTGACTAGAACATGAGGGGGATGAAAGAGGGGTCAGGAGTGCATATATTCCACATGGGAAGGCAAAAAAATGAAACAAAAACCAAGTACCTTCAATCCATTAATGCCAAACTGATTCTCAACATATGAATACTATACTGCTTTGCAAGAGAAACAAAGCTGTGTCTCAATTTCTTTTGCGAGGCAGAGGTGTTGTATTGCTACAGGCTCTGAAACTGGGAGAAATAAAGTGATCTACAAGAAATTTGTGGTGTTGGTAAGAAAGGGTCACAGGCTATGATTACAAACTGTGCTTTTAAACTGTAAGCTCATCACACACACTCAGCAGCCATCATTTCCTGAGGAGCTGAAATGTCATAACGATTCTTTTCTTTATCAGCCCCAATCCTATTTGCAAGTATCTTTACCGTTCTGGTTTCTAAATGAGAGAATATTTGGAAATATCAAGGTACCAGTAGAGATATCATTTTACATTTTCTTATCAGTATTTCTGATCTGAATTGGAAATAAACTCCTGGAAGCTTTTCAAGAGACCCAGAAGACCTCCTTTTAACCAGTCCTTTCCTGCAGTGGTTTTTGGAGACTTTACACACTTAAAAACCCAGTTCTGTCCTAATCTATACCATAAGCATCTCCACTAAAACCAGTCAGGATTTTGTCCAGTTGCACAAAGTCCAGTCAATTAAGCATAAAAGCAAAACAAAGGCTGTCAGCAGGGACTTTGTAGAATATTCCACAAAAAGTTGTCAACCATTTGCTTGAGAAGAGGATAAATAGACGTGCAGAGCAGTAGAGGGTAGAGAAAAGGAGGTAAACGAAAGGAGCAGATAACCCAGGCAGAGCTGAAAAAGGAATCACAGATGAAGATATGCAACATCCCTGCACAATTAGCAAAATATAAGGTTCAGTCTATGACTGAAAGACCTGCATAAAATGAGAGCATTTGAAAGTTCAGCACAAATTTGGAAGAGTTGTTCCTGCTGATACAACATGAAACGCTAATTATGATTGACATAATACTGAGAGATCCCACTTGATTTCAGTTCTATCAGACCCTGCACAAGCAAATTGGCTGAAAATTTCATGCCCTACCAGCTTAAGGTATGAAATGATAGGGATAGACAATGAAACAAAACTGAGAAAAAAAACCTGTCAATGCCCCTGTAATTGGATCTGTGTTCAAAACTAGACTATTAACAAGTCTACCAAGAACAGCAGCAGGTGCTGATATATCAAAATATATCACGTAAGAAAACCAAGGACTTCACCCCCATTAGAAGACAAAGCACTCAAATATCCTGGACTGTGGGGAAAAAAAATCCTGTCTCAGCAAAGATGAAAACATTGTTATCCATCTTTAACTGACAGTAATATTTAATTGTGACTCCTC